CATGCCCGCCGTAACACACCCCCGCCGATTCTTCGCCACCCGTTGTGACCCACACGACAACGCCAGGCCACTGCACCCTGAAGGTAACGTGTCCTATCAAACCCCACGCGCGCCTTCTCGTGTTCGCTATGCGCGACGCTCTTTTCTACGTTCCCTAGGTTCGCCCTATCTGTCTCTTTCTTCTCCTTCTGCTCGCTCCTCTTCGAGGTTCTCGCCGGGTCTCTTTGTCTTTTAGGTGGGTCTTGTTTCGTCGCTCGCTGGAGGATTGAAAGGAGCCACGAGGCAACTTCCAAGTGGTCTACACTGCGGTCAAAGTACCACCGTCAAAAGTGTGTCATTCGGGTGAATCGAATCCTCGACGAGTTCGCCGGGTCACGGCGGGCCAACGTCGGGGAGGTCCTCTTTTTTTCTAGAGGATCGTACATGTGTGAACCGTCTGGGCTCAGTTTGTTCTGGGAGTTTGCTGGGCTTTGTATGTGGGTCAATGGGTTTGCGCTTGGAAGCTTTCGGCAAGATGTATTGTTTATGGTTTTATTTTGCTTTGCTATTAATAAAGGTGACTCGAGTAACGTTCGTCAAACTAAGAAAACGTTGTTTAGATCTTATCTCGTTTAAACTGTCGGGCTTGGGAAATATTCGTCTGTTTTGAGAATTGTATCGACGGTTGAATAAAATATGAACCTCGCTTAATATTGCATCAATCCGCGGCGTACCGACCGCTGGACAATCCTATAAACTACAAACACGTAGCCGACAGCACGGTAACAAATAGTAGCCTGAAACATCGTTTACATAATAAAATGATCTAATGTTCAGGCAGCTCGTCGCGTGAAACACAAAACGCAGACACGACTAGTTGCCAGAGAATGTCGCTTCCCACTCGTAATTAGGCGAATGCACCACGAAGATAAGTTCCGAGCGCGTCGTGGCCTCACCATGATCCGCGCATGTCCGTCTTCATGGCGACTCGTGACCGCAAACTGATCGAATTCGAGCAGCTGCACACACGTGCGCTCACGCGTGAAACGGGCTCCAAGCGTGAATCCAGCCGCGAGGAGAAATATCTATCGGTGGAGAGGATCGATTCCGATCGTCGAGCGGACGCGGAGGAGCCGAGCGCTGCCCGATCCCGCGAGTCGCGAGGGAAGGTTGTTCTGGCGAAACTTGGCGACAGAGAGGACTCTCGGGCATCGAAGGACGTCTAAGCTATTTCAGTGTAAACGCCTGCCATCGGAGCGTCCTGTCATTTAGAGGCAATCTCAAAAATAGAATTGTTGCGGATGCAGCAACGCGCGCGACGATTGTCACCGGGGTTGTTTCCTCTATAAATCGATCGGCCACGCGGAACAGAGTCTCGGGTATAGTCGGGTATTATAGGGGTTATCAACTATTAACGCGGATCAGCTTATTTTCGCTCGGGCTTCGATTCGCTACCTTTGCTCCACTTTTCCAACTAAACTTTCACTGGGAGAGGAATACTGCGTATAATTGCAATTACGTTAATGTTTCATGCCAGGCTATCGACTATAGTTACCATGGTGGAGTAAAAGTCATAATTGCGGACACGTTGCACTCGACGCAGCGCGTGCGGCATTACTCGGGAGTATTTCGTCATTTATGCTAATTTTAGCGTTGAAAGAAGTAGGAAAATGAAAGAGTTTTCGTTGATATGCGTGGCGCGAGTGTTCGATTGCCTATTGGTAGTTTTTTTAATAAAGACGCAGATGATTGATCGTCGAATAAACGATCAACGCGAAAAACTGGCGGCTCCTATAGTTCGGAAGTCTTCGGAAAGCCTCTAAAATCTGATGGACCCCTGCGGAAAACACGAACCGCTAAAAAAGCTCTTAATAAATGCGCATGTGTAAAAAATGGACCAGTTTCCCAAATGTTGAATAAATTGTCCCGCAAGATAGGGCAACTTTCCAAGCGTTTCATATTCCCGAGCGTTCGGGAACTTCGGCAGTGCCGCGGACCTAGAGTCATCATCCAGCCCATTACTTTCGAACAGCCTGGCTTCATCGAAATTCCGTTCGATTCGTTCAACAGTTTAGTTAAGGGAACAGGTGAAGGTGACGAAGACGATTAGGGTCTTGTTAGCTTTTAGTGGTCTGAAATATTCTGGATTTTTCACTCGGAAACTTGCACCATTGACATTTCGTTCGATCATATTTTGACAAGATGCCTTAAGAATCGATTTGAGGACATTTGGGAAATACTTCGTTATTATTCAATTACATTGAAGATTGCCACTGTTATCTAAATGAGAATATCACCTTGAGATTCGTCTTCTTCCGAATTCGAGTTACAGCGGTGAAATACACGCAAGGGAAATAATTCGAGTCGTCTTTTTAATCAGAGAATTTTTGTATCTCGAGTTGCGGAGAGTTTTACGGGGTAACGGAAGGTAATAGAGGAACTTTATGAGTCATAGGGGATGCCGAGTTATAGAGGTCCGACCGTACGAATAATTATGGTAAACTGGTAAAATATTTAACGATTCGAATAAAATCGACCGTCGAAGGGGGCAGAGGATCGCGAAGGGATTAGTCTCGTTTGATTTACCTTCCTCCTGCCGAAGGGCTTGTAATGCTCCCGCCTAGCCGGCCGCCGGAGATGCGCCATTTTCCCGGGATGCGTACGAGAGCTCGCGAGCGGTACGTGGACCTCGAACGAGCCTTTCGCGCGGTAAGAATCGGCGGTCAACCTACGGGACCCGTGAACACCGTGTACTCGGCCGCCTGCGTGTAACAGCGTTCGTCAGCTTCGCGAGTCCATCGACTTCCGGTACGAGGCACGTCGAGTCCTGGTTCGGAACCGCATTTATCCTCTGTCAGCGACGTTCTCACTTCACGCACTGCACGGCTGAAGCGCGGTGTGCATCGAGAGCGTCATCGAACCCGAATAAAACAGCACGAGATAAATCAACGTGGACAACCGCGAAGGAGCAGGCTCAATTAGCGGCGGAGCGTGCTCATTAATGATTAATACGCAACCGTGCCCGGCGTCCGATCTTTGGATCCATGCCGAACGAACGAACAGCGATAGCTCGGTGTATATCGAAGTAATAAATCTTCAGCCTTAACCTTGACTTTTGAACCAGCCTTTGAACGACTACACCGGAAACGAAGCTACGATCCGGCTCTATTTATATTGCCGGAACCGAAGATTTTAATAGAGAAGTCTCGCGTCAGTTGGTTAATTTCGTAGCTGAAGTATTCGCGATCGATGGGGATCGATCGGTAGCTAAGTCCACAGGCTGGAGTCGGGCCGTCGACGCAACCAAAGTTCGATGGACACTTAGCAGGATCCTCTGACTCGATGAAAATGTCCGGAATGATTCACTACGTGTCTCTAGCGCGGATTAAATCCTCGGCCACTTAGGTTAGCACTCGGTCTCGGGCGAGATCGGTCGACGGTGTCACGTGGAGGACCGGTGATCGGTGCAGCCGTCGGAATTCGCGGTTCACCGGGCGATGTCGGTTCGATTTCGGGATCGATTCGCGGTGCTAGACGAGCGTCCTGTCTCTACCGGCCGTGTCTCCGTTCCACGGACGGACACGGGGATCGGTGGAAACTGGTGCGAGACGAGCCCGGTATGCTTGTACGTGTGGTACTGGTGCGACGAGAAGCTTTTGGAACGCATCACGACCTCCTCCGCTATAAATAAAACGGTGGCCGCCACACCGAAAACTCTGCCAGCCGAGAGCCGCCGAGAGAGCCTCGATTCGTCGTAATTTTCCTCGTTCAACGGAGGAACTCGGGAAGAAGAATGCGAGCGGCGGGTTAGGTGATCCGTGGGCCGATCGCGGATTCCGAATCGACCTCAGACTCTTAGGTGTGCCCGATCGATGTTTCACTGGACCAGGATTCAGAATTCTGGAAGTCCAGACGTTCCAACTTAGATGTAACTTAGACATAACAGACTGACGAATATACTTGTCATTTATCTTCGGGTGATTTCTGGAAGTTATATTTGTTTAGAGATTTAGGGTATGAGTGGATAGATTGAAATAATCTGTTAATATTTGTCTACGTGTAACGATTGAAACAGTTCTTTTAGATAGACAGATGGTACTAGCTTTTGTAGAGATTTAAGTATCAATGGACTAAAAGATGAAAATATGCAAGATGCACATCTCGCAGGTACTAAGGGCTTATGTCATCGATACTCAGGCTTAAAGACCCCGTCCGCAAACAACTGTGTATTCTAATCGATAAGTAGGTCTGGGTTGTGTCTAGGTTGCAATCAGCCAGCGTGCCTCTGAAATTTATCGAAGGTGCACGCCAAACAAAATAATTCCCCCGATACGATCGCCATTTAATGGCGTTCACGTGTCGAACGTAGCTCGATCTTATCACCGCCGCTGAAAATACCAGCGAGACTGGTATTTCAGTGCGACGTCTTGACCCTAGACATGTTATTTCGCGTACGAAACGAGAGTTCACTCAACTTCGAAACATTGATTTCATGGGCCGACAGGACACATCGGTACGATATGGCCATTGTGCGGGCAAACCGTGTGGAAGTCGCATCGAAAAGCCAAGGACTGCTTGGTAAAGGGGTGAAGGAAGGGTGAAAGCGGTCGATAAGTGGGGTGGAAAGGCATTGTGCTTGGAGAGGATACGTGTAGATACATGGATTGATCCCACGGATTGTCTCACCAACTGACGTAACATCCAGTTACCCTTAAACACTCTTTCGCACCTTCCCATCGATGCGTTCTCGCTCCAGATAGTTTCAGAAATTCCCACCGCCCCGCCTCTCCGTTCTCGTTTCAATTTTGAAAACTGCGACACGAGTAACGGCCGGAGCACGAAATATTCGTTGCAGAACAAATTCGCCCCCGCGAGCCTCGCGTAAACGAGATTCTTTATGAAACGCGCGGAGCGCTCGCGTTTCAAGCGAGCGCAAGGAATGGAGGCGCAGCGTGCCTGTCGACTCTCGCTTTTCCCCGGTGTTTTCAAGAATTCAACTGGGTCAGCCCGCTGTTGTGTCGCTGGAGGCTAGACACCCTGTCAGCCATTTCCTTAATCGTCGCTAATTTCGCTCGAACGAAATGCCTCGCGAGCTAATCGCACGCTTACTGTGGAAACATTTTTGTTTCCGAAGAGAAGAGGCGCATCGTCGCGATGAAATATTCGCTGCAGTTCGCGAGACCGAAGAAATTAGCGTCGGTGTTTTTGTACGCGGAGATCGGATGCACTTTTCACTGTTTAGATAATAGAGCCGAGTGCAGGCGTACTTGCGCGTCGGCGCCTTAAGCATGGACACGTCGATTTCTGTGCCAACAGACGCCAGTCACCTTTGGCACCGTGCGCGTCCCAACTTTTTCGAATTCTTTTTCACAATGTAGTACGATCCATTGTAGAAATTTTCCATTGAAAAAGTTTCGCTAATTTCCAATTATGTAAACTGCAGCAGCGAGAAGATTGACAGCGAATTTTTTAAACGGTAATATGACGAGCAATCGGATTTAAATTTGTCTTTTGTGTTTTGAGGTTGAAGATCGTTTAATGCGAATGAAAGTTCAGAGACGGGTGTAGGCAATTCTAGATTAAATTCTTTTGGGAGCACAAACGTTGTTGCTCTTTTCCTGTGGAAGGTAAGTGGACGTTTGATAAAGTGGAGGCGCTTGGAAAAGCTCCTAACCGCCGCTTGTGGTCGACCAAGCAAACTAAACTGCTGGGAAATTCCTATTTCCCGCTGAAAGGATATCGACCACAGAGAATCCTCTCTTACCGACGTGCGGTAGCGATGGGACGAGCGTATAAAGAGACTGAGCAGCAGCACTGCCACCAGATGACTCCAAAATGGCGAATCAAGCAGGCGACCTAACATCGTACGGACCGAGTACCTTTAAGACAAATTTTAATGACTCTATGCTTTCTGAAAGAGCGAAGAATAACTAAATCAATTAATGAAATATAATTTAATATAATAAAATTCTTGTTTCTTAGAATTCTCAACAGATAAATCGATAGTCGAATTTTCAGTAGAAAATGTTCGTCCCCATTTTATGGATTCACGTCTCAAAATGTCCTACTAAATCTTGGGCAATTTGATTAACTAGATTACCTTACATTGACACGATAAAGTTACGATTCAGTAAACCTCTAACAAAATCCCACAACCATTTCTCATCGCGAGTTTCCATCATCGCACAAACTGTGCACTCGACAATGAAAAAGCAGATACTTTTCCACGAAAAAAGTCCTGATAACCTATTACCAGTATTGTCATCATCCACGAGGCTCTCCGAATAATCGTCTATCATTATTGTCTGCAGACGGAGTGCCTCTCCGTCGAAAGAATCAATGCTAAATATACAGGCTTCAAAGGCCGCTGCTTCTCAACCGGATGGATTCTCAACGTTCCTTAAGCGCCCCTCGCAGAACCGTTTCCCGTTTTAATTATTCGCTTCCCCGGCGTTTTCAGCGTTTTCCAAACACAAGTACAACTGGCCATCAATTTCTTCTGTCTGCCGAAAGTGGCTGTTGCCGTCAACTAATTCTCACTCGAACCAGAAAAAGGAACATTATCCTCCACTTCAGAAATTCGCGCAGAGTTAAAAGACCTCTTCGGTAAATTACAACGGAGAACCTTCGACATCAGAAAAGTTCCACGCCTCGTATTCCACGACATCCTGAGACAGTTAGCGAATTCCCCGATAATACCAGTCCACGACGAACCGAAGACCGAGGATCTCGAAAATTCTAAAATTTTCCAACCGTAGATTCTCTACCCGATACACATTATTCGAATCGGCGATCCCCAAGAACCAGGGGATTAGGCAACGCAGGCCGTTGCAAAGGCCTCAGGAACACATCAGCATACCGTTCTCTTCTCGCCTCGCATTTAACCGTATCGTCTGTCATCCTAAATCTCGGTTTCGCGCTGAGCGGCCGCCTCGCCGTGCGCACCCGCACCTGTTTCGCTGGCAGCCGCGGTTGCATCACCGAGTTGTTCGTTGCCTGCGGAAATGTAGGCCGCGTCTAGCCGCCTCGAGCCGGGCAGATTTAGCATCTATCCCCGTTCACGCTCGAGCACGAGCCCCGGAGATTTTTCCAGCACGAGGGGCCGATTCCGTGACACGGGACGGACGGACCGCCGAGTGCAGCTGCACGCCGCAACGCGACGACGACGACGACGCTGCTGCACCCGCGGCGATAACCGGCCCGTGCACGAGCCGCAAATTGTTCCCGATTGCCGCGAATTACCGGACGATCGCTATCAGGCCTAAAATTATTTTCCCCGGCGCGGCGCGGCGCCGACTCTCTTCTCGCCGGTTACTGGCGAGCTTGAACGTTCGTCGGTACTCGATAATTGCTCCATCGTTTCGGCTCCCTCGCGGAGTCGTTAACTTCTCGCGCATCTGCATCCCTTATCGGGCTATTAAGGAACTGAAAAGGCGGTGGGTCGGCGCCGAGCTGCGACACGATTCTCGGGGACTCGAGAATCGCCGGAGTGACACGTTCGTGATCAGAGTTTCGAGGACTGTGTGCGTGAGAACATGGTTCTTTACACCCGTCGCGTGTTTATGGACGGGGTTGTTTGGACGGGAATTGTAGGGTCGGATTGTTGCAAGTTTTCGTTCTCGCCTTATCTCACGTTAGTCGATGCCTTGGAGGTGGCCGTTTGGTAGGTCTCGTGATCGCGTTGGACTGCGGGGGAATTTTGAGCTCGAGTACTGTGATTGATCTTTAAATTCCTCGGGGACGTTTGAAATCAGTTTTAAATTAGGTTCCACGATTTCTCTACTTGAGAATATTTCATTTTCAAAGAGAAATCAGTTACGACTTTCGTGAGCTTATCGATTGCGAATATTATCTAAAATATAACTCCCAAGAATCACGAAGTTTCTAATACGTCGAACAGTCGTTGGGACATTAAGCTTAAGGAAATTACGAGGCACACATTGCCACGTCCATAAATCCTATTCGAAGTATCCGGAAGTCGGTGGAGTACCGGTCGTGTCGCCTTACTAGTAAGATCCTCTCGAGTTACTCGTTCGGGGAACAACAGCCAAGTTTTTCGACGGTAAACAGGGTCGCCACGGGTTTCGTCGGGCGAAGGGCCTGCTGGCAGGCGGCAGATGGCAAGCACCTGACCGTGTTCCCTTTTCGAGAGTTCCCGGGTTGCCCGATAAGATCGAGAAATCGTCAAATTCGAACATTACGCTCCCTCGCAGCCGCGGTGCCGATGTCCCGTTCGATTCCGGGTGAACTAGAAAGAGTGCGCGTGTGCCGGCGTACCGAGAACCGCGTTACGGGACTCGGTACTCTGCCCTTGAACCGGCAAACGATGACGGCGGCACGGAGAATCATGAACGCGAATTAGATCCAATCGAATGATTAAGGACGTCGGCCGATTGCTCGAGGTGGACTCGATTACCTCGAGATAGCTCGACGGGAATACGCGTCGACGCGTTTGCCTGTCGATCGGGCTGCGATAGGGCGACGACTATAGATAGTGGTCAAGCTCCGATAACTGTACGCGCCTAGGCAATCCGATCTCTCGTCTTACCGCTCCGCGGATCTCTATGCAAATTCAGATTTTTATGGTCGGATTTTAGACCACGGTTACACGTCAATTTATTTTTACTACGCCGCGCGGCGATCCGATCGAATTAAAATA